AAACCTCTCTAAATGCTGAGCCCACATTTCCTTAAATATCAGACTTCCACTCTCACATATGGGCCTCTGGGCCGCACAGGCTGGATTCTCCTTTCTTGTCTCCCTCAGTTTCAGAGGTCAGATAATGGCCAGCATACCTGCACCAAGAAGAGGAAACACTGAAAAGGCCAGGCAGAGGGCACCTGGGTCTCTGAGTCACACAGGCTGGATTCTTCTTCCATCCACATCCACAATGTGTGGGCAACTCCTTTTGCTTCAGAGACAAAGTGATTCTGTTTGCGCTGGGACATGAATAAGAAAAGGAGTGATATTCACTGAAGCCATGCTCTGCTTTCAGCAACACAAGTGACAGCAGAAGCCCGAGCATCAACTGGTGGTGGTCACAGACAGGGATAGGGGAGGGACTGGACAGACAGGAGGAGTCAGGGTGATCTTTCACTTATTTCTCCGTGGAACAGGAGCTCTTGGTGACACGGAGTCTGGATGCAGCTGTGTGACAATGATAGCCTCGTCCCCAGGTTGGAGCCCAGAGGTGGTCAAGAAGGCTGTGTCGACAAAGCTAGAGCAGGAGAACTAGGCTGGGACGCCTGAGGGTCCTTCACTGCCCTTCCGGGTCTCAAATATGTGTGCTCTCTCAGGGATCCCACAGTGGCCACTTCCATGGGAACGCCTAATGTTCCTGTGGCTTTCCATGCAGGAAATGCTGACCTCAAGATATGGGCCTCCTCAAGAGTCTCACAGGGAGGAGTCACTTGAAGCAAATATTGGCAGTTTCTGTAGCCAGGTATTCCACAGACCCACCATTAGAACCTGCCTCTGTGAGCAGCTCCAGTGGTGTAAGAGGGGAGAAGAGAACACGTCCAGGCCGTGCAGGGCCCAGAAACCCGCCCTCAGCAGTCCCTAATGGCAGAGGAGCACGCTCAGCACTGTTTTCAACTACGGTGGAGCCTTCCTAACCCTCTCTTCTGACATTACAACTGAAATGTAGGTTCCCAGCACTGAGCCAGGTCAGTTCTGTGCTTGAAATCCCCACTGACCTGCGTCCTCATGCAGCATTTCATGTTGGAGTGCCTTGTTCCTGGGACACTGTGAGCTTCAGACAGCCCTGAGCACAGACCACTGAGGTGGGAGGGGAGGTCTCTGGTTTGAACCATGAAAGAGCAGAGTCCATGCTCCAGGGGACTGCTAACCTGCTGGAATGTTCCCAGGCTCTGACCGTAAGTTGAGCTAGGAAAGGCTCATTTTTCTTCTTTCAAGAAAAAAGGCCCAGCTCCACAGGCAGTGGTGTTAGCTGCCATCACTCGTGTTACTGAAAGAATAGCACGTGTGGACAATCAGCCAAGACTTCGGTGTCATCGGGTGGTTTGGTTTGGTTTTTGTCTTACTGAGACTTTATAAAAATGGATGGGAAATTGAAGGAAGAGTGCTTTGCAGCTTTCCAAATGTAGTTTCTGTATAAGCCAGTTATTTTAGCATTGGATCTGCTGTCTAGGATAATATCTGGACCTCCCTCTGCCCTCTGTGGCCAACTCCTTTTTATTTCTGTAGAAAGAGAAAGCCAGGGGATGTTGGGGAGAGAGGAGAGAGGGGGAGCCTTGGGTAGGTTTGAAAATTGTCACAGAACAAGAGTGAGAGTAGGTCATGTTTTTTTTCCTACGTCTCTTTCTGTGTGTGTCACTGTGAAAAGCGCTGCTGTGCCCAGGCATACAGTAATAGTTTCATCCTCAGACTGGAGCCCAGAGGTGAGTAAAAGCTCTGCATTGGCTGAGGCACCTATGGATCCAGAGAAGTGGCTGAGGACTCCAAAACCCCGGCATTTACTTGAGTCTGAGTAGTAGCTCAGGAGATACCTGGGAGCAATCCATATCTGGTAGCTACCAACATATCACTTTGGATGGTGCAGATTAGCCAGGCTGATCCTCCCGGAGATGCAGAGAGAGAGGCTGGCTGTGTCAGCACAGGCTTAGAGAGGAAACCTGAAAACACAGCTCCTAGGGTGAAATGTTTTATGGATCTCTGCCAGAATGGCCAGAATCATACAGGGTGGCTGCCCCTGGTCTCTGGAGCCTGTCCCTACCTGTGCAGTGAGAGAGAAGTGGGGGAAAAAGAGAAATCTAAACCATGGTGGATTCAGCCCGTGATCCCTGAGCTGCCTGAGGCCTCTTTTTCTTCCCATTCTGCAGAACAGGGGCTTCTCATGCAAATGTGTTTCTACCAAGAGACTGCCCAGCTCCTCCCTGAGCCCTGGGCTATAGTTCAGCTCACACTGCAGACTGAGGAAGAGGAAAGTTTGCTTTCTTTCTTGTGAGGGCCCAGGGAGGAAGCACCTGCTGAGACTGGACTCCGGTCCCTGCTCCGTATTCTGCCAGGCCAGGGGAGGACAGAGCTGCTTAGTCCCATCAGTGAGCATGGGGCCTTCGTCCCAAGGCCTGGGTTTCTTTGATTGAATGGTCCTTACTGAGCAGCTGTGTAGGGACCATAGGACAGTTCCAAAGCATCCCATGCTGGTTAGAGGACACACACCTTCCCGTGGCCCATTCAGTCTCTGCAGCTCACCAGTCACTGTTTCTATTCACACATCCATAATGTCATTCATACACACTGATTTCGTCATGCTATGCATGATAACTGTGATTTCTCAACCCCAGAAAGTTTCTTGGTCCATTCAGGTGTGCTCACATGTACATACATCTTTTAAAGGGGTCAGCATCTTCACAGTGCCTTCTATATATCTAATTGCTCACATGTGCCTTCCAGGTAGGCGTCACAGAGAAGGGGTCGGTGGAAGAGCTACATTGACAGGCATGTAGGGGCTGTTCAGGAGAATAGTGAAAAGAAAATTTTCCAAGGAAAATAAATTGTTCATGACATGTTAAAGGCAGCAATTCAGCAAAAGTTATCGATACAGCTGTTGCAGACATTTCACAGAGATTTGACTCAATTTATTCATATAAGAAATGAATACATTTGGTGGACTTACACTTACCAGTGGATAGTGTGACGTATGTCTCTATTTTTGAAGTTAGCCATTATCTCCCTCAGTAAAACTCGCCATTTTGCGTGCAGTCGTGTCATATTTTTTGGCCAAGAATTTGACCTAGATGTTATAAAATTTTTGTCTGTTGATGTTACCACCTCTGTTTTCTTCCTGGATATTTTCTGCATATTAGACAGGTCAGTATATGTTTGAACCTCAAACTGTTTTTTTGTAGATAAAGGCAGAGACCACCACTTGTTCAGCGTAGCCCACATCTACTCTTGTGCTCACCGTGCAAACTTCCCATGGGTTTCTAGACTCACTCACTTAACAAATGACTATTGATGTATCTCTTTGACATTACCACTGTGTTTTCCAGTCCCATTCACACCCATTACTTGTCTATACTCTGCTCGTTCTTATTTTATACTACTTTCTCTGGCTGTCATTGAAATCCTGCCCTAGATTTCCTAATATCTTCCAAGAATACCTTAAAAAATGTCTTCATGGGGCTGACACCACTAGCACCCCCAAATCAGAGCTGCCCACTCTGTAAATCAGTGTGCCCCTAAACAGGCACCTCACCACTGACACCTCCCCTCTCATGGATTCTGAGCTAGAACGCATCAGTTATCACTGCTGTTAAGGCACACAGGTAAACCTCTCCAGAGCCAGCATAGGTCCGAATCACACGGTGCTGCCAGAAGATTGCAGCATTGTCTACTACTCCACTGGGACAGGACATCTGGATGCTTGTGCTTGGAATTCTCTTGAACTCTGCCCATGTGTTTCTTCACATGAATTATTTTAATCTATATGATTTTGCTGTAAAAAAGGCAAAATGGGGCCGGGCACAGTGGCTCACGCCTATAATCCCAGCACTTTGGGAGGCCGAGGTGGGTGGATCATGAGGTCAAGAGATCGAGACCATCCTCGATCAACATGGTGAAACCCCCTCTCTACTAAAAATACAAAAATTAGCTGGGCATGGTGGCGCGTGCCTGTAGTCCCAGCTACTCGGGAGGCTGAGGCAGGTGAATTGCTTGAACTCAGGAGGCGGAGGTTGTGGTGAGCCGAGATCGCTCCATTGCACTCCAGCCTGGGTAACAAGAGCGAAACTCTGTCTCAAAAAAAAAAAAAAGAAAAATGGCCTAGGGACCGTCAAATATACTAGCCCCCCTGGGATGGGTGCAATTCAGCAATGACAGGGAGAATCACAAAGGAAGTGTGCAGGGTGAACGAAGCCTGAAGGAATAGGAAGATCAGGTGTGATAACACCGATACATTCCAGAAAATGGAAGCCAAACAGTGACAGAGGCAGATCTGTGGCTTTTAAGGAGGGTGTTGGGGGAGGGAGGGAGATGGCAAAGTGTCATTAAGAGCTGCTGGGGTTGGACACAGGTTGCGTAGCTCAGTGGTGGTGACGTTTTTAAGGATCCAGAAAAAAGCTAAAATGTGTCTAATTACCTACAAAAACTATGGGTGGTTTATTTTATGTGCATAATTCCTCCATGAAAAGAATTTATTTTTTATTTATTTTTTTAAGATGGGGTTTCACCATGATGGCTAGGCTGGTCTTGAACTCCTGACCTCAGGTGATCCACCCACCTCGGCCTCCCAGAGTTCTAGGATTACAGGCGTGAACCACCACCCTGGCCAATAATTTTATTAATAAAAATGGGCTTAGGAGAAAAGAACTGGGATTCACACTGTGGACCAAGGAGAGAAAGAGAAACTTTCTCTGTAAACTTTTGGAATTGTGGAAAGGGGGATGATGGAGACATAGGCTTCCCATCAGAGGAAGGTCTGTGATGACACAGCTGGCCCTGCCACATCAGCCCAGGATTGCAGTGCAGAGACCCTGCGTCCCAAGATGCAGGATCAGGAAGTTCTGTTTCTTAGAGTTCCTGTTCCTGACTCTGAGTACAAAGAAATGGAGCCTCTACTCTCAGGCAGGGCCCTGGATGCTGCTAGGACCAGTAGGGAAGTTTCAGCAGCAGAAGTCACAGACCAGGCCTGAGCAGCAGCTGCCAGGGACTCACCTTCCTGGCAGAGGAGGAAGGGGTTCTTGTCTCAGTTTCCCATTGGCCTGGAGCACTGTGCGAGCTTTCAGGCTGTCATCCCATGCTAAGCAGTAATAATCGGCCTCGTCCTCAAGCCGGAGACCAGTGATGCCCAGGGTGGCTGAGGTGCCAGACTTGGAGCCAGAGAATCGGTCAGGGACCCCTGAGGGCCGATTGCTGTTACCATAGATGAGGAGTTTGGGAGCTGTTCCTGGGAGCTGCTGGTACCAGGATACATAATTACTTCCAATGTTGGAGCTCCTTCCAGAACAGGAGATGGTGACCTTCTGCCCAGGGTTCCCAGAAGCTGAGGGCGGCTGAGTCAGCACAGACTGGGCCCAGGACCCTGGAAATTGGAGAGACACAGACATGGTGATTCTTGGTCTAGAGACAGAAGGAGAAAGCAGGGCCTCATGGGCTTCCAGGACCCCTCCCCTGACCCTGTGTCTGGGCACCTGTGCAGTGAAGGAGAAGGGTGAGGAGGAGATGGGACCAAGTCATTATGAAGATTGTCCCGAGTCTTGCCTTCTGTGCCCACAGCTGAAGCAGAGCTTCCCTCAAATTCTCCCTGCCCCTCTTTATACTCTAAGATAAGGAGGGTCCATTTATGCAAATCAGACCCTCCAGCTTTCTGATTCCAACTCCTCTGCCTGAGGATGTCAGGGGGTGGCAGGGGTGGGGCCTCATGGTCCCAGGGGTTGAAGAGTTCACATCTGTGAGCCCTAAACATAGGGCACCAAGCAGAGCAGGTGGCTGGTCCTGCTCTCATCACCTCGTCTTACAGGAATGGTCCCCATGCGCCCCCTGGTGTCTATTGTGCGACATTGTACAACACGGTGTTATATGACAAGGTGATGAGAGCTTCTCAGAGAAACCCCTGCCTCTCCATTGTTCTGTCCACTGCCCTCTCCTTTGGGGCCAGGCCAGGCAGCCCCCTGAATCTCCTTTTCATGACTCCAGGGCAGACTTCATGCTCTACTGGGTTCCTCATGGGTAAATTTGTCCACAACTCCCTGGATGTTCACTCTATAGAACTCAGGTGTTGACTACACAAAGTCCTCTTAGATCAGGATCAAGCCCAGAGCAGGGACCAGCCCTGGGGACTCACTTTGCCACCTGTGGGGACACCTGGTACTCTTTCTTATGCAGCTCCCTGTGGTGGGCAGAGCTCTCCTTCCTCTGTGGATCCTGCAGTGCTGAGTAGAAAGGGAGTCTTCCCTCCAGGATGCGTGGGGCACATTCCCAGAGGGTTATTCTGGTAAATCTTGTTCTCTATCCACTTTTCCAGACTTGTGGTCCATCTGGATCCTGTGATGGGAGATCTCATCTAGGAGATTCTCTAAGCACTGAATGCCAGTCTGAAGGGGATCCTGATAAATGGCTTTACTGTGTTTTACTTAAGAGCCAAAAGAGCAGATATGCTCAGTATTTGAAGATAGGAAGAGTTAAAACTGTAACTTTTTTCTTGACCAGAGTCTGTGCTCAGGTGAGCCTGACACATGGTAGCTTTCAGGATCAACCATTCCAACTAGAATGTTTAGGAAATAATATGGTTTAATTCAGTAATGAGTGCTTTGGACATGTCTTAAAGATGATAAAAATTATTCATCTTTGATGTGTAATGACATCTAGGATATGATATGTTAAAAACAACAAGCTTAAGAAAAAAGATAATCCTATTTATTGAAATGAGAAATGAAACAGATTGTATATATGACTGCAAGAGTTCTGGCATGATACACCTTGGACTCAAAAAATATTTGTTTGTTGAATCCCATGTGGCTGGAGAACAACAGGATAGTTATGTCAATATTTACACTGGGGAATGTGTCTCAAGGCAGTTGTAGTACCATGAGGTTGTAAATGTGCCATTTAAATAGCAAACTAGACTGGGCATGGTGACCCACACCTGCAATCCCAGCACTTTGGGAGGCCGAGGTGGGTAGATCACTTGAAGTCAGGAGTTCGAGACCAGCCTGGTCAACACGATAAAACCCCATCTCTACTAAAAACACAAAAATTAGTCAGGCTGGTGGTGGTGCATGCCTGTGGTCCTAGCTGCATGGGAGACTGAGGCAGGAGACTCGCTCAAACCTGGGAGGTGGAGGCTGCATTGGGTTGAGACTGTACCACTGCATTCCAGCCTGGATGACAGAGAAAGACTCCATCTCAAAAACAAAACAAAACAAACCCACAACAGAATATCTCTATCTAATACAGACATTTAAATAGAACCAGTCTAGATATGTAACTTAAATAAAACATGTGCTATTTTTTAGGATTGCATTTCAAGGGTGTCATTATTTGAAATGTTCCTTTTCATTGTAAGCCATGTTACTGGAAATATTTTTATAGTTTTTGAAAAATGTTTGCTGTGTTTACATAACACACCAGGCATACTAAGTTTTATTTCTTATAAAGTGAAAACAAATTGTTATGACTTTGTATTTTCTTGTCATTGCCTCTTCTGTGATGATGCAGAGATGTTCACAGTGAATTTTGTTTATTTTTTTCTCCTACTTTCATGAACAGAGGTTCCCCCAAACTCAGCAATGTCTACCATACAAAACAAGGCTGCCCAAGACTGCCTTCTGCCAAGGGATGCGCTCCCTCCTAATTGTCCCATCAGTTCATAGGCTAAAAGCAGAGAGAGGATTTCTATCACTAGTTCTTCCAGTTCAGCCCCATCCTGGGTTCGGTATAATGTGGCCAGTGTGATAAAAAGGAGGTTTTTTTCAAGTAGTTACTGAGCACCTACTTTGTGCTGGGCACAGAGCTCAATGCTTGCAATGCCATGTCGATCTAGACAGCCTCGTCCCTGCCTCATAAAGCTGACCCTGATGGTAACACAGCGGTAAGAGGGGCAGAGGACTTCCCATTCTCCTCCTTCATCACTGGGGCAAAGAGACCAGAAAGGCCCCTGCTGCACTCAGGGTTCTGAGAAGGGATGACTTGGTGGGATCTCGGGAGAAGAGAAAAGCAATTACAGGAGAACTGAGGGGATATTGGCATGACTTGAAGATTCCTGGGGTTCAGGTGAAGATGTAGGAAAGTCCACAGAGTAGACCTAGGTGGAGTAACACAGAGATGAATAACAGGATCTAGCAAAAGTGGACTCCCAGGGACAGAGGGATTGTGATCCAGAAAGAGACCCTGCCGGGGCAGGTCCTCAGCAGTCCAAGAAGATGCACTTTTGTACCCCAAGTCCAAGAGCTTGTTCACCTGGTGGGCCCCATCTGCTGGCGCTACTGGAAAGGAAGGCAGGGAGGAGCCACGTGTCATCAGGCAGGTGCGTGGAGAGGGGGAGAATGTGAGCAGAGAAAGAAAAGATTCCAGTTTAGGAGAGGCTGGATGGGTGGTGTTAGATGGACGTGTCCAAATATAGTTATTTTTTTAGATATTCTATATAAATGGGGTCGTTTTAGTTTGTAGATTGTGAGATGAGAATACAAATTCATAGCTATATTGTTATTATTCTAAAAGACATTGTATCTTCAACACAGAAGTTTGCTTCACAGGTGCTATCCCGGTGGATGTAAGCACTGAGTTTTTAAAATGCTTTTTAACATTTATTTATCATCATACTGCTCTTTCTCCAAAACATGTAAAACAATTAAAATTTTTGACATGTGTGAATACTACATTTTTGTGAATGTCATGCACTATCTTTTTGAAGATCCAACACCTAATGTGTTAATGCTGTTTCCCCGCCCCCCCCCCCCCACCCCGAGACGGAGTTTCGCTCTTGCTACCCAGGCTGGAGTGCAATGGTGCGATCTCGGCTCACCACAACCTCCGCCTCCTGGGTTCAGGCAATTCTCCTGCCTCAGCCTCCTGAGTAGCTGGGATTACAGGCATGCGCCACCATGCCCAGCTAATTTTTTGTACCTTTGGTAGAGACGGGGTTTCACCGTGTTGACCAGGATGGTCTCAATTCCTTGACCTCCTGATCCACCCACCTCGGCCTCCCAAAGTGCTGGGATTATGCTGTTGTTTCTTAGAAGTAAACTGCTGAAGCCCTGGAATCAGTTTTCTTGGATTCAGAAGTGATTTCTAAAAGTTATTGAAACTTTTCTTTGCTAACCTTGTATTTAAACTTTTCTTTGCTAACCTTGTATTTATTAAGGAACAACTTCCCCCTCATTTTTTTGTGACAATAGGCTATAGATACATGGTGGGCGTCATTAGCTGCTGAGTGGAAAATGAGCCATGTGAGGGAATGAGAACATAAGAGTTAGTGTAGAATTTTGGAAATCAAATGGCCCTAGATCTGAGAAAATAACATGATACTATTGGGTAGAGACAGAACTTTTTAGAAGGATACCGAGAGGGAGAATCTAAGATTTAAGTAATCCAGGAGAGTTCAATTAGAGCTCTAATAGTTCACTTTTTGTCCAGAAGGGGAAGGGTCACCACTGAGTCACAGCCAGGCTGACACTGATTCCAGACCCTGTGAACAGGACTCTAAAGACTTTTAGCAGTGACACAGGTGACCTGGGGAAGCAGCAGTCTTGGGATGAGTGCAGAAGGAGACACTCCGCAGTGTGAACAGATGAAGAGGTGTTTCTCAAGGCCTGTGAGTCTGGTCCTCATTGAGAGAGGGGCAGGTGGAGAACAGGTGCCCAGGGGATGGTGGGCAGTACCACTTATGTTTCTTCTTGAATTCTTTTTATTCCCTTAGCTCCTCTGGGCTTAGGAGGCAAACATGAGGGTGTTTATCTGCTTTCTGTCTGTCCTGATACCACCTAATTCTCAGATTGCTGCCTCCTGTATGGGCATGAGTGTTTCTTAGCCTGGAATTGATTTGTGAAAGGAATATCAGAAAGGCAAGAAAGCCTGAATAAAACGTTGTGGGATGGAAACACACTGGCCGAATCGCTTCCCGGGTTCCAGCCTTGACTAGACGATACCCGTCATGAACTAATGAAGGTGGAGGGCAGAGTGCTGCACACACGGGCCACATAGGCAAGGCTTCTGTTCTTTTGCTCTTGTTTCTGGACCAGAGATCTTTTGCTCTTGTTTCTGGACCATAAGCTTCGCCCACCATAATGATGTCATGGGATGTGGCATGAATCTAGTCCAGTCATCTTAATGTCTGGGATTTCTCACCACTGAGTCAGGGAGGGCAGATCTTACTCATTCTGGAAGGCTTTTTTCTGTGAGGGTGTGATGCCTGAGACTGGGGAGGCATTTGGTTTTCAAATACAAATTCTTCCAGGTGGCAGGACAGGCCATGGGAAGTGACTTCTGGTCTATCTCAGAGGGAGATTCTCCCCCTTACCTCAGAAGAGGAAAAGGTCCTGTGATGCCTTTGAACAAGGCTGGGGAGCTGTTGTCTGTTTTCACCGTGAAAACAAACTCAGGACCTCCCCCAGCCTTCTTACCATGAAGGCCCCCTCAGCAGGGGAATCACTGTGCCCCATGCAGGTCCTAAGGCCAGCCTTGACCCTTTTTCTCACCCAGGCTTTGGTCCCTCCTCCCCAGAAACTCGTGCTGAATTTCACCATTTTCTCTAGTGACCCCAGCTGGCCTCATGACCTATACTCTTCTCACCTCCTTGCCCATCTTCTTGGAGGCATTTGCACTTTTTCTTACAAACTTACCTCAGATCCTGTGTCCTTCCAGTGCAGGCCTCTAATGGCTCCATTACCCTCCCCGACCCAAGCCCTCCTCTTTTTACTGTGAAGACTTATTTTTACTTGTCTTTCCTCTTCCACCAGATGGTATCAGCTCCATGTGTACTGGGAAGCATCCTGTCTTGTCCTTCCTGTGTCCTGAGCCCCTTACCCTGAGCCTGGCACACTGTACGTGCTCAGTGAATGCTGTAGATAAACAGGCTTCTGGCTGCCAACCATCTTGGGTCAGACATGGTGGACTCTGTGTCCTCGGTCTTATCTTGACCCATCAGGGACTTGGTTCCCAGGCCAACTTGACCCTGGTATTGATGTTTTCTTCCCCGATACAAAATAATATGAAAATGTGTTGCTGCCAAGAGTTGGATGTATGGGTAGAATTGAGTGGAAGGGGACACATTTTTTAGACCGTGTCCACTGGAGTGGATCTAGAACTTTAAATTTTGACCAGTGTTACACAATCAGCTGACTTGGCTAAGGGGAGGAGGCGAAACAGGGAAGACACGTTACTGGGAAGACAGAAGGCTTTTCTCCCACTTCTCTACTTTCCTGCAGCGCTTTGTAAGCACAGATACTTGTGTTCTAAGATGCGCATAAGAATCGGCCTTATTCTCTTCCTGGAGCCCAGTGATGCTCAGGGAGGCCATAATCCCCAACCTGTGGCCTGCAAACTGGGCTTGGACCTGTGCAGATCAATGGCTGCTGCCATACATGAGGAGTTTGGGAGCACTGTTGGTACCAGGACGAAGGCACACACCCACCCTCACTGCTGCTTCCAGTGAGGTAGACGGTGGCAGTTTGCCCCACCCACTTGAACACTTACACCACTGAAGCAGCACTCAGTTGTTCCAAAAACTTTATATCTGGACAAACACAGGTTGAGAGAGGTGGCTCAGTTGAGAGGGAAGCATGCAGAGTCCTTGTTCCATTCCCCCGCAGCCCTGATGCCTAGCCTAGCCACCTGTGCAGTAATTGAGAAGGGGGAGAACAGGAGCAGCTCAGGCCATGGTGAGAACCCACACACAGCTCTGCCTCCTGATATTAATTATCATCACCATCTCCACTTTTCAAGTGAGGAAATAAAAAAAATTTTGGTTGCCCAAGGCCACATGGCCAATAAATGCCAGAACACAAATCCACTTGTTTGTTTATTTGTTTAGAGATAAAGTGTCACTCTGTCACCCAGGCTGGAGTGCAGTGGCATAATCACAGCTCACTGTAGCTTCAAACTTTTGGGTTTAAGCGATCCTCCTGTCTCAGCCTTCCAACACCTTGGGACTACAGAGGCACATTACCATGTCTGACTCTAAGTCAAAGTCTTCAGATTCAAAATCTAATCCTCAATCTGCTTTATACTATAAAAGCGACTTCTCTTTCTAGATTTAGGATTTAACCCCCAGGATTATTTCATCTACGCAATTACCGACTTATCTGTCAGCCATCATCCATTTTGGTATCAGTGCTGGGCTCCTGCTAAGACGGTTGATGTCTTAGTTGCCGGCATCAGCTTTATCCAATTCCCTTCAATTCTATTTAATTCTACCAATTACATCAAATTCCCTTGAAAGCCTTGTGCTCTTTTTGGCTTGAGAATGGGGCTCAGTCTCCCCTCAACTCTTGAGTCAATCCTGTAAGAATTTTTACCTGAGGAAAAAAACCTTTTAAAAGCTTTTTTCCCCATTCTAAAAGCCTTCGTATCAGACTTCCATTCTCACATATGGGTCTTTTGGTCACACAGGCTGGATTCCCCTTTCTTGTCATCTCTCCCTCAGTCTCAGAGCTCAGGAAATGGCTAGCACACCTGCACCAAAAGGAGGGGACACCTATGGGGCCAGGCAGAGGACATCTGGGTCTCTGGGTCACACAGACTGGATTCTTCTTCCTTGTCATCTCTACCTCATCCAGTCCCACCATGTGTGGGTAGCTCCTTTTGCTTCTAGACATGAATTGATTGTTTGTATTTGGAACTAGTAAGAAAGAAAATTATTTTCACTGAAGCCATGCTTTGCTTTTATTAGTACAAGTGACAGCAGAAGCCTTGTCATGAACTGGAGTTGGTAACAGGCAGGGATAGGGGAGAGATGAGTCAGACAGGAGGAATGGGGGACAGATCTTCTTCTCACTTCTCCATGGATCAGAAGCTCTTGGCTGCATGGTGTGTGGATGCAGCTTTGTGACACTGATAATCAGTCTTGTCCTCAACCTGGAGTCCAGAGCTGGTCAAGGAGGCTATGTGGACAAACCCAGAGTAGAAGAATCAGGCTGGGACCCCTAGAGAGTCCTAGGTCACAAATAGAGAAGTTCTTCCTGGGAACCCTCAGTGGCCATTTCCTTGGGAATGCCCAATGTTTCTGCTGCTACCCATGCAGGAAAAGCTGACCTCAAAATATAGACCTCCTCAAGAGTTTTACAGGGGGGAGTCACTTGAAGCAAATACTGGGCAGTTTTTTTCCTCAGATATAGCACTGACTAGATTGTGACTCAGTGAAAAACTCTAGTGGTGTAAAAGAAGATAAGAGAACATAGACCCCAAGGGATCAGGAAATTCACCCTCAGCAGTCCCCCTGATTCTGAGTGGGATGAGGTGGAGGAAAGTCACATCTGTGGGTCTTACTTCTACCAGTGGCCTAAGAGCAGGCTCAGCCTTGTCTAAGCCATGATGGAGTCCCCCTCCCATTTACTCTCTCACATGCTACAAAGAGGTTTTCTGCCATAGGCATAGGCAAGGACTTCATGAATAAATCACCAAAAGCATTGGCAACAAAAGCCAAAATAGACAAAATGAGATCTAATTAAACTCCAGAGCTTTTGTATAGCAAAAGAAACAATCATTAGAGTGAACAAGCAACCAACAGAATGGGAAAAAAATTTGCAATCTACCCATCTGACAAAGGGCTAATATCCTGAATCTACAAAGAACTAAAACAGATTTACAAGAAAAAAACAAACCCATTCAAAAGTGGGCAAAGGACATGAACAGGCACTTTTCAAAAGAAGACATATATGAGGCCAAGAAACATGAAAATATGCTCATCATCACTGGTCATTAGAGAAATGCAAATCAAAACCACACTGAGATACCATCTCACACCAGTTAGAATGGTGATCGCTAAAAAATCTGGAGGCAACAGATGCTGGAGAGGATGTGGAGAAAGAGGAAAACTTTTATACTGTTGGTGGGAGTGTAAATTAGTTCAACCACTGTGGAAGACAGTGTGGCAATTCCTCAAGGATCTAGAAATAGAAATTCCATTTGACCCAGCAATCCCATTACTGGGTATATACCCAAAGGGTTATAAATCGTTCTATTATAAAGACATATGCACACATATGTTCATTACGGCAATGTTTACAATAGCAAAGACCTGGAACCAACCCAAATGCCCATCAATGATAGACTGGACAAGAAAAATGTGGCACATATACACCATGGAATACTATGCAGCCATAAAAAAAGGATGAGTTCTTGTCTTTTATAGGGACATGGATGAATCTGGAAACCATCATTCTCAGCAAACTGACACAAGAACAGAAAATCAAACACCACATGTTCTCACTCATAGGTGGGTGTTGAACAATGAGAACACATGGACACAGGGAGGGGAGCATCACACACTGGGATCTGTTGGTGGGGGAATAGGGGAGGGACAGTGTGAGGTAGGGAGTTTGAGGAGGGATAACATGGGGAGAAATGCCAGATATAGGTGATGGGGGAATGGAGGCAGCAAACCACCATGGCATGTTTGTACCTATGCAACAATCCTGCATGTTCTGCGCATGTACTCGAGAACCTAAGTGCAATTATATATATATATATATTTAAAAGAGAGGTTTTCTGGCCTCAGATCTAGTTATCCCCACATCTAATCTGCTCTTCTGACATTGAAACTGAAAATGCAGTTACCTAGGACTGGGCCATCCCAGCTTTATCTGAGGAATTCTTCCCTGATCTGTGTCCTCATGAAGCATTTTACATTTTAGTGCTTTGTTCCTGGGATACAGGCAGAGCCTTAGATAGCTCTGAGCACAGACTACTGGAAATGGAAGGGGAGGTCTGTGGTTTAAACCCTGGAACAGCAGAATCCATGCTGCAGGGTACTGTTTACCTGCTAGAATGTTCCCAGGCTCTGACTGTAATGTGAGCTAGAAAAGGCTCATTTTGCTTCTTTCGAAAGAAAAAGGCCCAGCTCCACAGGCAGTGGTTTCAGCATATATGGACAATCAGCCAACATTTTAGTGTCTTCAGGTGGTTTTGTTTGTTTTTGTTATACTGAGACTTGAGAAACAATGAATGGGAAATGGAGAGAAAGCCTGTTAGCACAAGAAAGTACTTCCAAATATAGTTTGTAAATAGACATTATTTTCTCAATTTAAAAATTGTCACAGAACAAGGGTGAGTCCAGGCTGAGGTTTTTGTCCCACTTCCCCATCTGTGTGTGTCACTGTGAGAAGCACTGCTGTGCCAGATCATACAGTAATAGTCAGCCTCATCTTCAGACTGGAGCCCAGAGATGAGTAAAAGCCCTGCATTGGCAGAGGCATCTTTGGATCCAGAGAAGCGGCTGGGGACTCCAGAGCCCTGGTGCTTATTTGAGTCTGAGTAGTAGTACAGGAGATACCAAGGCGGACTTCCTGGCTTCTGCTGATACCAGTATATGGTGTAGCTCCCAACATTGATGTCACTTCTCAAGGTGCAGGTGAGTCTGGCTGATGCTCCAGGAGTCGCTGAGAGTGATGCTGGCTGAGTCAGCACAGGCTGGGAGAGGGAACCTAGAAACACAGACATTCATGGCTGATAAGACAGAAACCAGGGTAAAGTTTTTCAGGAATCTTTCCCAGAAGAGTCAGAATCAGGCTGTGTGACTGGTCCTGGTCTCTGATGCCTGTTCCTACCTGTGCAGTGAGAGAGGAGAAGGAGGAGGAGAGGAGTCCAGGCCATGGTGGAAACAGCCTCTCACCCCAGCAGTAGGACTGGGCTGCCTTAGGCCTCCTTTTCTTCTCACCCTGTGTAGGAGGGGCTGCTCATGCAAATGTGTTTCTACCCAGGGACTGTCCAGCCCTGCCCTGAGCCCTGGGGATGCTGCACAACTTACTCTGTAGACTGAGCAGGAGGAAGGTTTGCTCTTTTTTGCAAGGCCCTGGGAGGAAGCACCTGTTGAGACCATACATAGGTCTCTGCTCAGGAAACTCTGCCAGACCAGAGGGGACACAGCTGCTGAGTCCCCATTAGTGAGCACAGGGCACAGCCCAAGGCCTGGATTTCTTTGAGTGAATGGTCCTTACCGAGCAGCTGTATAGGAACCACAGGGCAGCCCCACAGCATTCAATGCTGGTCCCAGGACACACACTTTTCCATGGCTCAGAGACTTCAGAATGCAGCTGGTCTCTGCAGCTCACCAGTCACTGTCTGTATTCACATATCCATGGTCTGATTCCTAGAAACTTCTTCAACCCTGCTATGCATTATTACTGTGATTGCTCACTCCCAAAAGTAGTCTTGGTCTGTGGGATGTGCAGACGTGTATATGTATAACTTTTAATGAAGTCAGCACCCCCACAGAGCATTTTAGAAAAATCAGATTGCCCACATATTCCTGTAGGATAAGCGTTAAGGAAAAGGGGTCAGTTAAGGAGTTAGGCTTAAGGGCAACTAGGGGCTGTTCAAAAGTATGATGAAAAATTAGAATTTTCCAGGAAATATAAATGATCTATGACATGTTAAAGGCAGTAATTCAGCAAAAGTTACACACACACACACACACACACACACACACACACACATATATATAATGTTTTCATACATTTTATACAGATTTGACTCAATTTAGTGATACAGCAAAATTAATAGATTTGGTAGACTTACCTTTACCAATGAACAGTATGACATATTTCTCTATTTAATGAAGTTACCCATTATCTCCCTAAGTAAAACTTGTCATGTTCTTCACAGTTGTATGAGATTTTTTGTTGAAAAATTTGTCCTAGATGTTATACAATTTGTTCGTATTGTGATATTGCCACCTTTATCTGTTTACTGGATGTTTTCACTTAGAAAGATTAGGGGGAATGATCCAAGATGGCTGATCGCTAACATCTCGGGATTGCAGCTCTCAGTCAAAGTGCAGAGAACTAGAGGACGCCACACTTTCAGACAAATTCTGGTCGCTCACAGAGCAGAAGATCCCCAGTGGAGGAGTCACACGGGTCACCAGCGTGACTCTTGTGGCCGGCGCAGCGGTTTTGTCAACATCTTGGCGTGGCAGCTCTCAGAGCAGAGTAAACAGGGCTGGCTCCCCTTCTGACCAAGGTTTGGAGGACCCACACGGGTCCCCAGCATGACTCCTGAGGCAGGCACAGTGGCTGTGATGGCACCTCGGCGTGGCAGCTCTCGGCGCAGAGTAAACGAGACTTGTTCCCCATCTGACCGAGGTTTGGAGCCCCGGGAAGGCAGAGTCGCCTATTACGGACACAAGAAGGAAGCCGGACAGGAGAATCCTGGGCAGAAAAGCACCATCAGTCTTAACGCCGCCGTTCTGGCCCTGGGAACTAACAACTTGGACGTCCATTCAAGAGACCTAATCTGAAATTTGGTAATTCCAAAGACGACAGGAGGATAAATTTACAATGATGGGAAGAAACCAGCGTAAAAAGGCTGAGAATACTCAAAATCAGATAGCCTCTCCCTCTAAACATGATCACAGTTCCACATCAACAATGGAACAAGGCTTGATGGAGAACGAGTGCATCCCGATGACAGAATCACTCTTCAAGGAATGGATAATAAACTTCAGTGAGTTAAAAGAACATGTTGTAGCCCAACATAAAGAAACTAGGAACTTTGAAAAAAGGTTTGATGAAATCCTACTGAGAATAGACAACTTAGAGAGGAGTATGAGTGAATTAATGGAACTGACGAATACAATACAGGAACTCCGAGAAGTATGCACAGGTTTAAACACTCGAATTGTTCAAGCTGAAGAAAGGATATCAGAGGTCAAAGTCCAACTTATGAAATGAAACAAGAAGACAAGATTAGAGATAAAAGGATAAAAAGGAATGAGCAAAGTCTCCAAGAAATGTGGGACAATGTGAAAAGACCAAATTTACGTTTGATAGGTGTACCTGAATGCAACGGAGAGAATGAATCCAAGCTGGAAGATACCCTTTAGGATATTATTCAGGAAAATTTTCCTAAACTAGCAAAGCAGGTCAATATTCAACCCCAGGTAATACAGAGAACACCACAAAGATATTCCTCAAGAAGAGCAACCCCAAGGCACATAATCGTTAGATTCACCAGGGTTGAAACAAAGGAGAAAATACTAAGGGCAGCCAGAGAGAAAGGTCAGGTTACCCACAAAGGCAAGCCTATCAGACTTACAGCAGACCTCTCAGCAGAAACTCTACACGCCAGAAGAGAGTGGGGGCCAATATTCAACATCCTCAAAGAACAGAACCTTCAGCCCAGAATTTCATATCCAGCCAAACTAAGCTTCACAACTGAAGGAAAAATAAAATCTTTTACGAACAAGCAAGAACTTAAAGATTTTATTACCACCAGGCCTGCTTTACAAGAGCTTCTCAAAGAAGCATTACACACAGAAAGAAACAACCAGTATTAGCCTTTCTAAAAATATACCAAAAAGTAAAGAGCACCAACATAAAGAAGAATTTACACCAACGAATGGATAAAACAGCCAGTTAACATCAAATGGCAGTAACCCTAAATTTAAATCGACCAAATCCCCCAATCAAAAGACACAGCCAAAACCCAACGGCATGTTACATCCAGACCTGTTTCACATGCAAGGATACACAAAGACTGAAAACAAAGGAATGGAGAAAGATTTACCAACCAAATGGAGAGCATAAATAAATAAATAAAAAGGAGTTGCAATTCTTGTATCGAATAAAATAGATTTTAAAGCAACAAAGATATAGTGGTAAAAGGATCAATACAACAACAAGAGCTAACAATCCTAACACCCAGATACATAGAGACTTAGATTCAATGAGACAGAAAATTAATAAGGATATCAAGGACTCGAACTCAGATCGGGAACAAGTAAACTTAATAAATATTTATAGAGCTCTCCACTTCAAATACACAAAATATACATTCTTGTCAATACCACATCACACCTACTCATAGGTTTAAATGAAACATTTATTGGCCATTATTAATACCCATTTTTTTTTTCAGAATAAAGCAATATTTCCGTTTACCCTCCCTCTTTCTCTTCCTCCTTCTTCCTCTCCTTTACTGATCTTTTTTTCTTTCCTTCTCTCAAAAAAAAAAGAAATCAACTTGTAAACCTCTAGATCCAGGTCGGCAATGTCTCTCTTATTGCTTGATTTTCTTCCTTCCCTTCCCTCCCTCCCTCCCTCCCTTCCTTCCTTCATCCGTTCCTTCCTCCCTCCCTTCCTCCTTCCCTCCCTTCCTGCCTTCCTCCCTTCCTCCCAAAAAAAAAAAGAAAAAAGAAAGATTAGTACGTGTTTTACCCTCACAGTGTTCTTGAAAGTGAGTTGAATGTCTGAGGAGACCAAGGCAGAGACCATCACTTTTCAATGTAGCCACGTCTATTCTTGTGCTAACTGTGCAAATGGCTCCTTGATTTTTAGACTTACAAGGTGCTTTAGTGAATAATCTAGAATCAGGATCACTCACTTTTCTCAGGCACTCTCTCTTCAAGGCATTCAGAGAGATCCCTCTCATTCAGATGAGGCAGGCAGGGCACTCCCTGGGTTAAACTCCTTCAATAACTCCTCACTGTTTTTATAAAATCTGAACCCTGTGGCCTCTGCAGCATGCCCTTCACGTGTGGCCCCTGCTCACATTCACAGCCCAACTCATAGCTTCTCCCCTTACTTTTAGGGCTCCAGACTCACTCACTTCTCTGTCCTGGAAAACCCTGAGCTTCTCTCTTTTCCACAGCCTCCAAACCAGCTTCTCCTCTGACTGTTGATACGTGATGAGCTTCTACTTGAAATCAATGTGTAAGCTTACATTTTGGTCCCATCGCACACCTGTCAATGCAGAACATAAACATCTCATCACAAACTAAGGATATTTTAAACACTGGTTAACATGGAAACTTTTGAGTCATACAAACATACGGAGAATTTTCTAATGAATTGTTTGCACCCGTCAGTGTGGTTAATCTTTTTTAACTTTTCAGACTCTTTTACCCATCAACTTACTCCCTCACTAGATGATTTTTACAACAGATAAATGAAGCAGTATCCTATCATTGGTACGTGAACTAACAAATATATACATTTGATGTGTTCCATCATTCTTGTGCATTAAGGCAACAGATTCCAAGGACTCTCACATTAATTGATTTGTTTTTTAATTGTTCATGTTTAAAGTGAATTTATTGTAATAATTAGAAAACTGAAGTAAGTACAGTGAATGCTAATATTTGCAGATGCAGGACTCACAACACTGCATGTTGGATTAGAATAAAGTGCGGATGAACACTTACATTCCTAATTATTTATTAGCTTTACCCAGTTCTCCTAGTGCAGAAATATCTCTTCTGTGGACATAGAGTTCACAAAGCCATCATTCTTCCTTCAACAATTTCCTTATCAAAGCCTATTATGGGACTTGGCATTGGTGAGTTTAATGTTTGAGTTGCATTGATCATAGGGCTGATTTGAAGCTCTGTAATTAATATTTTCTTGAAGGATATCTCATGTAAAGCTTCTTAGTTATATAAATGATGCAGAAATTTTCCCAACTCACCCGTATTCTGCAGTTTATTTGCTCTTGAGGCTTTCTTTCCCCAGAATTTGCTTCATGATCTGCTTGCTTCCTGTGGCTTCTTTAAGCAAGATTGGGAAAGCCCATCACATCCTCTCCACTTTCTCCACAGAACCCATGGAATCCAGCATATATGGATCCATGGAAATCAGACCATCAGTGAGTAAACAGAGGCAGTGATTGGGAGCTTCAGAGACTAGCTGGGCTCTCAAGTCTCTAGACTATGGGGAGGTATGTGTGATATACACGTATTTTCATATCCACATCCTTCTGCTACCCAAACTCAAAGGCAAAAGTTCTTATTTAATATCTTCTATTGAATGAACATGGAACCTCAAACACAAAATATCCAGAACTTCAAAAAAAATTATTATCTTGACTTCAAATCTGTACGTCTTCCTGTGATTCCAATGTGGGTGAACTGATATATTTAACAAACATGTATTGAGTCCGTCCTTAGTGCCAGGCAGTGTTTTGGGCTCTGTAGCTACAGCAATGACAGGACAGAAAACAGCAACAGCTACAACAATGAACGATCTCATGGAGCTTAAATCTCCGCAGGGGAAATACATTGAATAGAGTCACTAACTGTGCAAATGCATCTTCATGTGACAAGGTGACCAGTTAGTCACCCTGGGGGTTTAAAGCCCTTTGCTGACAGTTGGGTGGCATGCATTTCTATAATTCTGAAGATGGCTTGACTTGTTCAGAACTTGATGGTGTTGTTTGACTATGTGTATTATAAATAATCCTGTGTAATTCTTCTTGCCTCACTCATGGCTAGGATCTTACTGTAGGTCAGAAGTAAAAAACATTCCCGTCCTTCAGAGGAATTCCTAAGGGTAACCAGACAGCTGAGTGTGAAGAGATAACCTCCCTACTGCTCTGCTTGTGATGGAGAAAGAGCAGCAGAGACACCACAGCCCTGAAAGCCTCCCCTGAAAAAAAGGCGGGGAGGAATGAAAGTAAAGAGATGGGTGGATAAAGATACCTGGGCGGGGGCTGGACCTTCTTTCCTTGCCCAGACACAGAATTCTTCCTTTCCCCTACTCTCTAGCTTTTTAATTGACCTTTACCCACACTGATCACGGAGCAGCTCATAAGCACTTGCCCCATTGTGACACCTTGG